AAAGTTCATTTTTGCATGATATAGGCCCTTCAAAACTCCTCATCATACTACTCCTATGTTTCTAAAGTAAAGATCTGTATAGTAGAAGAAACAAAACATGAAAGGAAGCCCACAGCATCCCATTTTCCTATAAATCAAGGTAGATATTATAGATCAGCATAATACAAATCATATGTGTATTAACTGATTTCATCATCAACTAAAAACCATTTGAACTGAAAATAACTATTCTGTTGAAAAAGTGATATGTTATACGTTTAATTTAGATACAAATGTTTGTTTTAAGCAGCAGTAGGAATAAGTGTTGGTTCTCATACATTAAAACAATTGAACATTGTTGAATTGCCATATATTAGAGTGGGAAACATCATTTTATAGATCATAACATTTTAAAAATGGATTTTGCTAGTATATTTCAAATGAAACTTGAACTGGAATGAACAAGCTCAACCATTTTTCTAAATCTACCCTGTTAATCCGCTTGCAGGCTGTGATCCAGGGGCAGCAGCAGTCTCGCTGGCTTCAAACTTTTTTAAGTTCCAAACAGAGAAGAGTGGTGAACGTTTACTTAGAAGACGATCAGCAGTTGGACCAGGTCTACTGGTACCTAAATGAGCTCTATGCAGAAGCTGTGGCCAAATCCCCATGCCTGGCTAAGGTGAAATCAATGGAGCGTGTCCCTTTTGTTCTAGATGTTCTCTTACCTGAGGTAAGAAAAGACTGATACATTTTATTGATTACATTTTTATATTCCAGACTCTTTGTTTTTTGTTTCCACTTATACGTTTGCCTTTTTATGTAGGCCATCATCTATGCTATTGCTGGGGTGGACAATGTTTCTGTGAAAAAGGCGGAAGAAAAGTACCTGAGAGGGCGGTGTATTAGTAACAGGTAGGTTTTTAAGTATTAAAAAATCATACAAGGAATCATTTCTCAGCCCTGTGTTCAAACTGATGAACGTCCTTTTCTTTTCTTTTTTCCAGAGAAAGACAAGAGTTTGACTTAATGATTGAGCGACAGATGAGGAGAAAGTCGCTGCGCCAGAATACAGCACTTGAACTATTTTCTGACTCTATTGGATCAAAGACTGGGGAATAGAACAATCACTTTTTTTTTATTCTGTTAATTTCTTTACAGTAATGTAGCCACAACATCATACCCTGCAAAATAGTATAACCACATCATCACAGCTGGTCTTTAATCAGCATTACCATTTAAAGCATTTATGTTTAAGTTGAAAAAGGGAGATGCATTTACCTTCCTAATTGAACTCTTCTGACTACTATTAAAGCCAAATGGTTTAGAGTTTTGAGAAAAGTACTTGTTTTTCCTAATTGTGCTTATGCAAAAAAGAATAATCATGTAAATACTTGCTGGACAATAATTCCTGTCACTTTGAAGATTTCTGTCCAGGGAGTTGCTCGCTCGTCGTCTCCCGCTTTATCTGGAACCGGGTCGCGGGGGCAGCAGACTAAGCAGAGATTCCCAGACTTCCCTCTCCGCAGACACCTCCTCCAGCTCTGTTGGGGGAAGCCCTAGGCGCTCCCAGGCCAGC